GTCCCAGCTCTCAGACTCACCCTTGGAAGCAGCAGCCCAGCAAGGGAGTCCCTAAAGTTCCCAAACCAGACCCACTCCCAGCTCTGGATCCTGTGTGTGCCAACAGGTGCTGTGGTCAGTCTGAGATGACTTATCTTTAGTTGCAGCTCTCACCAGTGAGTGCAGCTCTCACCAGTGAGTGCAGCAACCTAGCCCTAGCGTGGCCTACCTGTAGCCCTCATATGAACTGGCAGGTTTTGTGATCCAGCCAGCCTGGTCTGCATCCCATTGTGATTCTCACTCATGCCAGTGTGCACTGGGAACTGATCCTGCCCAGCCCACCCCCAGACCCAGCTCACATGTTTGCTGCAGCCCAGCCTGGCCTATCCTGCTCCCAAATATGGCTCTCATGCTCACCAGTGGGAGCTATTGCCTAGTAGGGGAATTCCCCAAATTCCCCTACCAAGGCCTACTCCCAGCAGTGGATCTGTTGTGTGCCTGTGGGTGCTGCTGCTCAGACTGACATGGCAGCTCCAAGTCCTGGCACTCACTGGCAGGAACTGCAGCCTAGCCTGACTGCCCTGCATGCTACACCACTGTGTTGGCACCTACATTTTTAATTTTTTAAATTTTCATTTATATATTTTTTTATTTTTAACTGATGTAAACTATTTCTAAACATTTGTGGAGTGCTATGTGACATTTGATATGTATATGCCATGTATGATACTTGGATCAGAATAAGTGTAATAAATAATAATTTTTCATTTTGAATCCTTTTATCTAAGAGTTAAGATAATTTTGGTTTTCTTCATCTTTCTGTTTAGTGCTTGGTTATTAATTCCCATTGCAGTCAAAAGGATAAGAGGACAAGAAAGAAAGCTGACACTGCAATGACAACTACCGAGGTCCAAGTTAAGGAAGAGCTGGGTCATGGCAGTAAGAGCTGACTGAGGCGCGTTTCTGACAGAGATGCTATTTCAGAAAAGACAGACAAGAGACAGAACAGTTCAGTAAGTGGGGAGTTCAAGAGTTAATGAATCCAATTTTAAAAATGATGTAGCTGTGCCTGTTTTGGAGCCATGGATGTAGATACTCACTAGTCCACTGGTTTATGTTCAGAGATGGAAGGATATTAAGCCGCAGCTCCTGGCATCAATACACACAAGTCTCCAGAACACAACACAGACAGGAACGATAACAGTTGGGTACAGCCATTACCTTCCAAGCAAGCAAACAACTAAAGGCAGTGTTCAGGACACTTACATACAAACACATGGCAAAGGGAAGCAAGCCGAGGCAACAGGGGCCTGCAGATGGGGTGAGCAAACAGGAAAGGCTCTTAGCTTCTAAAACTCTGGAATTTTGTTTCTTAAGTCTGGGTTATGGCACATGGTTTTTGTTGATGAACTCTCTTTAGACTCCACTTAGGATATACCACCTTCCCTGCACATAATACAATGTACAATAACACTTAAAAAAAAAACTAAACAGATTATATTCTGATCACAATGGGAACTAACAACCAAGTACTAAATGAAGAAAACTAAGGAAAACAAGAGCCTCTTAACTCTTAAATGAGGAATTCAGTGAGGAGTTAAATGAGGAATTCAAATAAAAAATTACAGTCTATTCAAAAATTAGGAAATAAAAATATTTGGAGTCTATTTTTTTTTTTTTTTTGCTAATTCAGTGAAATTTCTCAAAGTGTCCCCATTCTTCCAGTTGACAATTAATTATTCTACATTAAAGGATTACTCTAAAGATAGCAGCATTCCCCAGCTGTAGGCAACTGCCAAGGTTGCCCTGTACCTGGGAGAAAAGCAGTTAGTAGCTGGCAGACATTCTGGGCATGGTTAATACCAAATTTGTGTTTACTATACCAGTATGCCAACATCATTGCTTAAAAAAAAAATGTTAAGTGGGAAAGGCAGAACATGCCACCCCAGCTCCCAGGTGAGGGGAGAGGGTTTCAGACTGGTTGGGAAAGGGGGTCTAGGGACCTGCTGGAGTGGTTAAAAGGCATGTTTGATAAGGGAGGAATGACTTCTGGGGTTTTTATGTATGTATCTTAATACTCTGCTTTAGAGACTGTGACTATGACCATTTTTCAGTCTTTTGATTAAGAAGTTAAGGCCTTTTCTTTAAGAACATAACCACTCATTGTAGATCATGTTACCTGTCTTGAAGAAACCACACCCATATTGTACAACCCAAATTCCAAAAGTATTGGAAAGTGACGATATAGGCATCTACTAAAAGTAGAAAAGACAAAATATGCAAACAGAAAACAGCAGATTATCAAAACATGAGCCTCCATGATGGAAAGGACTTTCTCAGTGGAGGGAGGGCTGTGGGGAGAGCACTGACAGGACCCAGCCCAGGGAAAGTGCCGAGAAGCAGATGCAGCCAGGAGACAGGATGCAGTGTTACAGCTGCCTTGTCAGTCGCTGTAATGAAGTTAGAGACAGTACAGTCCAGAATTCTGAGGATGAAGAACATCCCCATGCGTGGGCAAAGAGGTTGCTGCTTGAATGATGGTGAAGGGGTCAGGGAGTAACAGCATGTAAGCAGTCTGACTTTTCAAAGAGTTGTTTTACAGTTCCGTTGAAGAATCTGAGAAAGAATGCAACAGATGCAGAGGATACCAAGCAAACAGAAGAAGGACAGGCACTCTAGGAAAAACAATCATACCAGAACAGAAAAAAAAAAAAATGGCTTAACTGTACAATATACACTTGGTCAAAATGAACAGTAATACTTTGGCCACAAAATCAATGTTAGCAGGAACAAGGAGGAATAAGGGGAAATGTGTGTTGATGCTGTGGTTTAAGAAAAAGTTAAAACCATAAAGTCACACCTAGAGTACACCTAGTATGAATTCAGTAGATAATCTAAAGCTAAAAACGAAATAGAAGTGGAGAAGGCAGTAACAGCAAAAGCAGCTGTAATTTCCTTGATTATCTAGGAGTGGGAATTGAACACAGGAAGGATATGGCATGCAGTACTTTTTTTTCTTTTAATTAAATTCCTTGAATTGGCAAAAATGAAAAGCAACTTTAGAGAAATGAGAAGAAACCAGGAGAGTGAAAAAAAAAAGTGCATTTACAGAAATCATGGGGTCACCAAGAATATAGCAGGAATTAGAATATGTGTAGTAAGAACTGTCCAAGCCCTGGCTCATGAACCAGGCTGAAGCCAGGAGCCAGGAACCCCATCCGGCTCTCCCATGTGAGTGGCAGGAATGTAATCAGCTACTTTCCTGAGGACATTAGCAGGGAGCTGGATCAGCACTCGCCGAACTGGCACTCCAACATGGGATCTGGCTGGATCAGCACTCGCTGAACTGGCACTCCAGCATGGGATCTGGCACACTGCCCTACTGCCAGCTGGATCTTTTCTTTATTAAGAAACAATCTGGGCCTGGTGTGATAGCCTAGTGGCTAAAATCCTCACCTTGCATGCACCAGGATCCCATATAGGTGCTGGTTTGCATCCTGGTGACCATGCTTCCCACCAAGCTCCCTGCTTGTGGCCTGGGAAAGCAGTGGAGGATGGCTCAAAGCCTTGGGACCCTGCAGCCACATGGGGGACCAGAAGGAGGATCCTGGCACCTAGCTTCAGATTGGCTCAGCTCTGGCCATTGTGGCCACTTGGGGAGTGAATCAATGGACAGATCATCCTCTCTGTGTATCTGACTTTCCAATAAAAATTAAAAAAAAAAAAAAGGAAGAAGCATTCTGTTAGGCACATACAAGTCTACATGCCAACTGCTATCTGTTCTCATAAAAAAATCTGTCAGATAAGAACTGCTGGGCCTCGTGAAACCTATCAGCATACTCTACCTCATCCCTCTTGTAAAATAAGCCTTTTCGGAGACTGATACCATTTGAATTTAACATATCTTATTATCAGTTATTCTCCTTAAATTAAGATTTCAGTTTCTTGCTCATATTTTATTCTATGTAGTTCTCTTAAGCCTTGTCAGCTTGTTAGAGAAATACAAGTATTTGACAAAGGGAATTATTCCAAATTTTGAAGTAACAGTTCTGATGACTCTCACCAGTATAAGAAAAATACTTAGTTTTCTGATACTACTGATGCTATAGAGTGTAAATAATAGTGCACAATGAGATATTAAGCATAAAAAAATTCTGAAAAAAATGGAAAATATCACATTTATTAAAACACAAAATAAAGAGACCTTTCTCCACAATCGCGATGTGGCAAGACTAGTTAAATTTTTATTTTAGCTTTTCCATTTCTTCAGTGTTGGTGTTCATATTGCTGAAATGACATAGCGCGCATGTCAAAATTGTAGTCCTACAAGAATTCATTGTGAAATGCTTTAGATTTTTATTGAAAGGAACAATAAAGATGTCAAGTGCAGATTGCATTTTTGTTTTCATTTTGCTAATATGGTGTTATAGCTTTCTGTCTATTCTGTTACTTTCAAACTCTCAGGTTTGAGAAAGATATCATTTATTTTAGACCTAAATATGAGGCACTCTCTTTCCTCCTGTTTTCTTCATATTCAGACTGCTTCTTCCAGTTATGGATAAAATTTGATGGGAAACCAGGTGATTACTCTGCAAGCTCATGAATATCAGTAAAGGGGTTGATGGAGGATATTTGAGAAGATGGTTGTTGAGCTAATTTCAATGTGTTACACAAAAGTGGACTGATTGTCACCCGTGACTGTTGAACACTGGGCTGCTTCACAACACCTAAGGCCTAACGTATTTTCCCTTTGTGTCATACTCAAAGCAGTGTTGCATTTACTCAGTAAGGATACAGACCTCCTCTGAGAATGAAATCAGGTTGCTGCCAGGGCTAAACAAACAGGGCCGCTGGGAGGCTTTCTTTCCTTGCACTTGAATTTGGGGGAGACAGGGTGCGAGGACACAGCTCCCGTGGCCTGGAGTCCCACCTCCTCTCTGGAAAGGGACCTGGTGAGAAGCCGGCTCAGAGAGGCACTGCCTCACACACTGATCAATGCCTTGTTCCTGTTTTGTCTTTAGGTCTCTTAATCCATGGATAAAGTGGGGAAAATGTGGAATAACTTCAAATACCGGTGTCAGAATCTCTTCGGTCATGAGGGAGGAAGCCGTGGTGAGAGCGTGGACATGAACTCCAACCGATGTCTGTCTGTCAAAGAGAAAAGCCTGAGTGTGGGGGACCCCGCTCCCCAGCAACAAAGCAGTCCCTTAAGAGAAAATGTTGCCTTACAGCTGGGGTTAAGCCCTGCAAAGAGCTCTGCCAGGAGAAGCCAGAACTGTGCTGCGGAAATCCCGCAAATTGTGGAAATCAGCATCGAGAAGGAGAACGAGGCGGGCGGGCCACCCGGCACCAGGCTTGCACGGAGAGATTCTTACTCTCGGCACGCTCCGTGGGGTGGGAAGAAGAAACATTCCTGTTCTACCAAGACCCAGAGCTCGCTGGATAGCGACAAGAAATTCGGGCGAGCCCGGGGCGGACTGCCGAGGAGAGAGCGGCGCTGTGGGGCCAGCTCGGCGCACGACCTGGACAGCGTTTCCAGCCGAGCCGTGGGGAGCCGCTCGCTGCGCCAGCGGCTGCAGGACACCGTGGGCTTGTGCTTTCCCGTGCGAACCTACAGCAAGCAGGCCAAGCCCCTGTTTTCCAACAAAAGGAAGATCCATCTCTCTGAACTAATGCTAGAGAAATGCCCTTTCCCTGCCGGCTCTGACCTAGCTCAAAAGTGGCATCTGATCAAACAGCATACGGCTCCCGTGAGCCCACACTCCACCTTCTTTGATACCTTTGATCCATCACTGGTTTCGACAGAAGATGAGGAAGACCGGCTGCGAGAGAGACGGCGGCTCAGCATTGAAGAAGGGGTGGACCCCCCTCCCAACGCACAGATCCACACATTTGAGGCTACTGCACAGGTGAATCCGCTGTATAAACTGGGACCAAAGTTAGCTCCTGGGATGACTGAGATGAGCGGGGATGGCTCTGCAGTTCCGCAGGCCACCTGTGACTTGGAAGAGGACACCACCACCTTATGCTTGCAGTCACGGCGGCAGAAGCAGCGTCAGGTGTCCGGAGACAGCCACATGCACGTGAGCAGGCAGGGGGCGTGGAAGGTCCACACCCAGATCGATTACATACACTGCCTAGTGCCGGACCTGCTGCAGATTACTGGCAATCCCTGCTACTGGGGAGTGATGGACCGCTACGAAGCCGAGGCCCTTCTGGAAGGGAAGCCGGAGGGCACGTTCTTGCTCAGGGACTCTGCGCAGGAGGACTACCTCTTCTCCGTGAGCTTCCGCCGCTACAACCGATCCCTGCATGCTCGAATCGAGCAGTGGAACCACAACTTCAGTTTCGATGCTCACGACCCATGTGTGTTTCACTCCTCCACTGTAACAGGACTTTTAGAACATTATAAAGACCCCAGCTCTTGCATGTTTTTCGAGCCGTTGCTGACGATCTCGCTGAACAGGACTTTCCCCTTCAGCCTGCAGTATATCTGCCGGGCGGTGATCTGCAGGTGCACCACGTATGATGGGATTGACGGGCTCCCTTTGCCATCGGTGTTGCAGGATTTTTTAAAAGAGTATCATTACAAACAGAAAGTTAGGGTCCGCTGGTTAGAGCGAGAGCCAGTCAAGGCCAAGTAAACCCTCCTGTTCCCCAAGGGCATTAGCTAGGTCTCCTTTTGCGGGCACCAGACAGTCCAGCTGTAGCAAGCACAGGGTTGGTGCCAGGTTTTCCCACAACGTGTGTAAAGACAGCGTTAGTTTCTCTCAGATGCGGCCTACTGTTACTCAGAGCAGTGTGGGGCCTGTTGAAGCTGCAGGCTAGAACTACAAGTGCTGGGTAAGATTGCAACCCATTCTGCCAGTTTGGCCACGTTTGGGTTTTTAATGGCCATGGTAACTGAGGGAGGCAACTCTGGGGCATTTGCTATGAAGAATTCTATTTCTTACTGAAGAACAAATTATTAATAATGGATGAGCATTTCAACAGTGTGACTGATGTTTAAAATTATTTTTTCTAAGAGTTTTTCTATAACCTTCCAAAAGTAGTGATGTTTGTAGTTACTGTAAGTCAAGCTTTGAAAGTCCAACAGAATTTAAAGAAAAAAAAAACTGCCTTCCTTTTAGAAAAAAAAAAATGCAATTTTCTGGCCATAAGGGCATAGTGCAGTTCTCTTAGGTATTGATGTAGTTTATAGTCAGCATACTTTTACCTTCTGCAAAAGGTACTGTTAAGTAAACCAGGTTTTCTAAATAGCTATTCTTCTTACAATTCCAGACTTAGAGAGTTAATCGTAGGATTTTATTCAAGGCCCTAGGTATAACCTTTTGAACAAGTGCTTGCACTTAACAACAAGCATTCAGAATAGCTGCTGCAGTGTAGTCCTGCATGTGATTTCCCAAGTTGACATGCGCAGTCTAATGTTTGTTTCCTTAAGAAGTTGGATCTTCTGCCATGCTCATGATAAGTTCGTGAACCACGAGGAAAATGAGAGTAGAAATTGCCCAAACAAGTCAGATAATAGTAACTTCATGGTCGCCGGTGTATTATTATGGTGACACGGTAATTAATAATTTGGATGGCAGTATTTACCTCTCTGTTGTAAACTCTCATAGCTGAATTGCTCAAGTATAATTCATAGGATTTCAGTGCAGTTAATCCTTAATGGAAAATCTGAAACCTAAACTGCAGATTTAAAAGGTACTGTACAACCGTTGTATGTGTAAATAACTTTACTTAGCACCTTTTCATCACTTAGAATAGTAGGTAATACAACTGGAGTGAGCTCCTCTTGGAAGTAATACAAAGTTCTAGTGACTGCTTCTTAGTATTGAACTGCTTTTCCAGTTCTGTCCTAGAGATTTTGCACTGAAGTAGCCAAATCCATTTTTGTGTCTTTTTGTTGGTGTGCTCTGTACCCCTTGAGTGCTCCCTGGATCCCCTACCAGCCGCTGCAGAAAGGTGTCACATCCCCCCAGCTCCTCCTTATGTATACAGCGCTGTGTCTGTACGCAACACTAGCCTTTAAACTGCTAATGTATGTTTCTGCTTGCCGTGCCTTGTTCTGGCTGCTTTCTTGTGCTAATAAAGTATGTTTGGTGTTCTCCTTGTAAATGTGCTGTTTTATACATTTACAATAGTTCCCCTTGTACGTGGAATGGTTTGGGTTATTTTTTTTTTTAATAAGCATTACCTGGCAACCTACTCTGGTTAATGCGGAGTTACTGTGCAGTCTATATTGGCTTACTAGAACAAGCCGAGCTTAAATTCAGTGCTCTACGGCTTTCTAGTCATAATCATATATAATGTGGAACAGTATCTACAGTTGCTGCAAATTACTGTACAGTTGAGGTTATAATTGAAAACACAGAAATAATAAAGTCTGCTGATTTCTCTGCAGCTAGTGCAAAGCTGGAACTATCAATGACATATTAAACCATTATGTATAGCATCCCACTGCATCAGAAACAGATTGAACCAAGTCTCATGAGCTAATGACACATCACCATTTATTGGTGGTTTGGGGACCATTTTAATTGAGAATTAACACCCAAATTATAGTTTAACCAAAGACTTGTCCATTTTAACAAAATGGGGGTTGAGGGGACTTAGAATTTCTGTGTTTCTAGTAGAAGTCCCTGAATGAACACATACCAAAGTAATTGAGAACTTCATCCAAACCTACTTTAAAGCATTATGTGCAATTAAGTTGTTATGACATAAGTATATTGCATTATTGTTGGGTCTGTTTTCTTGAGCTTATAATATATCTGGAAAATAAACCTCTTGGGGGAAAACAAGTCTGTGTTGATTATTGGAGAACTATATATGCAAGCAAGATCATGTTTAAAAGAGGTCACTTGAAACTCCAAGAAAGCACTTGATGTTTTATATGCTTGTAGCAAATTGATGTTCTAATTAGTTTTATAGAAAATATTAATGCTTTTCTGTATTTCAGAACTTTCACTTTTCACATGGAAATTGTTTTAAATGTGTAACTGTATGAGTTTATGTAAGCATGTATACACTGTGCTATAAGTCACTTATGTTTCAGTTTGTGTACAATATTAATATGCAACTTCTGGTTTAAATTTTTTCGTAAAATATTAGTGGCTTACATTTTAAAAAAGAAAAATCACCAGCATGAAACTACACACAAATCTATATCACTGTGTCTTTTTCTGAATCCATTGTGATGAATTTTGTGTTTAAGTAGTCTTTTTCTATATGCATTTTTGTATAAGCCAGGAATTCTTGAGAGATTGGGATATATCTTTGTAGTGGGATAACTAACCCAAGGAAAGATTGGTTAACATTCACTCATCCATTCATTCATTCCCTTCACTTGCATGCACTTTTTTCTACCTCTCCATCTTTTTGTGTAAATATATACATATACATTTATACCGACAAGCACACATATATACATTTATGGAGTTAGTGTTATGTTAGATCATTTGTCATCCAATTTAAAATCATTTAGAGTCCTGAGTCTGAGGATCCCACTTGAGTATTATTGGACCTTTAAATTGTATAATCTGTGCTTCAGGTGGAGCCTGCTCTACAGTCATCTTAGTAATGCAGTCACCTTAAGTGTTCTCTTCTTTTGTTTCAAGTAAGTGATGAAGAGTCATAGCTAAATTTCCATGTCCTAAACAAAAGTTGAACCCAAATAATACTTCTCAAGAACGTATCTATGGTCTTCATCTTAAAAACCTTATTCCATAAAATAAAGGGTTTTTTAAATCCCTGACATTCAAATTCTAAGCTTCCTTTCATAAAATACAAAATTTATGAACTTGTTGTTTGACTTGTTTTAAGATTAATTGTATTGGAAAGGCAGTTATACAGAGAGAAGGAGAGGTAGAAGGATCCTTTGTCCACTGAATCACTCCCCAAGTGGCCACAGTTACCAGAGCTGGGTTGATCCAAAGCCAAGAGCTTCCTCCAGGTCTCCCACGTAAGTGTAGGATCCAAAGGTTTTGGATCATCCTCTACTGCTTTCCCAGGCCACAAGCAGAGAGCTGGAAGGGAAGTGGAGCAGCCAGGATACAAGCTGGTACTCATATAGGATCCCAGCAGATACAAGGTGAGGATTTAGCCACGAGGCTGTTGCACCGTTCTGTTGTTCTGACCTTTTGTAAGGCCTGTTTCACTTTTTGATTTAGTTGCCATTTCTTTCCTTGCAGAGATTCCTTGGCTCCCTGGAAGTCCATTGTAATTTGATAAGCTTTATTGAAACTCATCTTAAAATTCTTATCTCTATAATAAATGGTCAAAGTCGCCTTTTTGGTACAGGCAAAGAGCCTGTTGAGTGTCTGACTCTTCCTAAGAGAGGGGGCAGCCCTCCTCTAACCAGGTTAACACAGGGCATTGTCTCATACCTCAGCACATATGGTTTTACTTGTATGGGATTAAATACAAATGCACACAAAGCTCCAACTTAGGAGTGAGAAAGTTGCCGAAGAGGACAATTGTGTGTGTATATAAAAACTACCTAGATATAAGACTAGTTTCATGATTTTATAACAAATGATAGCAAAACATGGGTTTTTTTTTCTTTCCTGTTTTGGATTTTTTTTTTTTTTAAAGAGTTACACAGAGGCAGATCTTCCATCCTCTGGTTCACTCCACAAATGGCCACGATAGCCAGAGCTGGGCTAAGCCGAAGGAACCAGGAACTTCTCCTGGGTCTCACACATGGGTGTAAAGGCCCAAGCACTTGTTTTCCCCAGTGTGCTCTCAGGGAACTGGTATCACAGGTTGCAACTGAACATGACACTGGCCCAGAACCATGGCTTCTTAAATGGGATGCTCAGAGAATGTTTGAGCTGGGGTCTTTGTGCAAGGTCGTGGTAAGCTGTGAGCTAGAGGCAGGCTGGCAAAGCCATGGGTGTGTTAGGGTGACTCTACCCAGGCCTGGGAAGTTGAATTGAATATGCAGATTCAGCAAATCCCCTTTCAGGGACTGGGTCGACACTGGGGTACCCAAGAGTCACAGCTTAAAGCAGAGGGCACAGTGGCCACAGCAGGAGGTTCTGCTTGGGATTCAGTATCTCTTAGGAGACAATTACAGCACTATTCATCTAGTTTGCCAACTTAAGATCCTATATCCATGTGAGGGGTTTTGTTTTGAAAGCCAGAGAAACAAAGAAGGAGTCATGAGTTGGGCCAGGCTAAAGCTGGAAGCTGTGGAGTCAGCAGTGGTAGGGAATCCATCGCTGAGCCATCACATGCTGCCTTCCAGTGCACATGAGCAAGCAGCTGGAGTCGGAGTCAGGACCCCAACCCAGGCACCCCAACAGAAAGTGGTGTCTATATAACATCCTAACGGTTAGGTCAACCGCCATGAACTTTTGTTTTTAAAGGAAACCATTCACTTTTCAATAGAAGACTTTTTTTTTTTTTTATTATCGGAAAGGCGGATATACAGAGAGGAGAGACAGAGAGGAAGATCTTCCGTCCGATGATTCACTCCCCAAGTGAGCACAACGGCTGGTGCTGAAGCCAGGAGACTCTTCCGGGTCTCCCGCGCTGGTGCAGGGTCCCAAAGCTTTGGGCCATCCTCGACTGCTTTCCCGGGCCACAGGCAGGGAGCTGGAAGGGAAGCGGGGCTGCCGGGATAGAACCGGCACCCATATGGGATCCCGGGCATGCAAGGCGAGGACCTTAACCACTTGCGCCACTGCGCCGGGCCCGAAGACTTATTTTTCAAAAAGCTTTAGAATAGTGGAGTCATAAATCTGAGTTATAAGATTATCCATGTCCCACTTGATTGTCACATTTTCCCTGTCAGACTTGCCTGTGTATCCTTCAGTGTGAGAGTTTCATATGAGAGATATACATACACAATGGAATAATTAGAAAGAAACGAGGACTGTCAGTATAAAAGTGCATAGGGGCCACCACCATGGCTTAGCAAGCTGATCTGCCTATTGTGCTGGCATCTCATATGGGAACTGGTTGGAGTCCTGGCTGCTGCACTTCTGATCCAGCTCACGGCTGGTAGCCTGGGAGAGCAGTGGAGGATGGGCCGGGGCCTTGCGCCCCTGCACCCATGTTAGAGACCTAGAGGTTCCTGGTTCTCACTTGGGATTAGGCCAGGCTGATTTGGGAAGTGAATCAATGGATGGGAGATCTTTTCTGTGATTCTGCCTTTCAAATAAAAATAATTTTTTAAAAAGTGCATACAGGGGCAGCTCCAAAAAGTTGATGGAAATAGAAATAAAAGTTGTTGAATTTCATGCAAAAAATGTCTTGAAATCTACATAGATGTATCACAATGCATGTTTTTGGTGACACCTTGAAGATTCCTCATTGGATCATTTTCTCTACCACCCCAACCCTGCCTCTTGCAATGTTCCCAGGAGAACTTGTAAACATGAGAAAGAGTGGAAGAAGTGCAGGCTTTGGATCACTTTTAAGCGAGTTTGTACTCGGATTTGCTCCCAATTCACCTCACGTGAGTCAGCCTGGCTTTCCATTCCTGGGTCACTTCTGTCCCATGAAGCAGACCTTTCAGCAATTGGACAACACATTGCAAAGGCACAGTTACTAAGAGATTTTAACAAGTTTTCAACAAGTTATAAATGGTAGTGACATGGGCCAATGAGAAGATATGGAAGTGGACCAAGAGTAAGTAAAAGTAAAAACAGTTCATGATCAGAAAAACTAGAAGTGATCCAAATGGGATCAAAGTGATTTAGGGAGACATCTTGAGTTTGTCGCATTAAGAGAGCTTAATCTCTCAGATTAGCTAGAAAGGCCAGGATTTAGAAGTATGGGGGTACTCAATAGGTGTTTGTGGAAAAGTGGTGTTAAACAATTTTTTAGAAAGAAACCTTATTTTTGAGAGAGCTCTGATCTCCTGGCTCATCCCTCCCCAATGCCTGCAATAGCCAGGTAAGCCAGAGAAGGCCAGAGGCAGAAGCCAGGGATTCAACCAAGGTTTTTCACGTGAAAGGCAGGAACTCATCCAGTTGAGCTGTCATCTGTTGCATCCTGGGCATTCATTATCAGGAAGCTGGAGTCAGGAGCCAGAACTGGGTACTCTGCTATAGAACACAGACCTCCTAACAGATGTCTTTCGTGCTAAGCATAACACCAGTCCCAAGGGACGTTTGTGTGCTACAAAAAATCTTGAAACTCATGGGTACCCTTTTTGCAATATGCATTTTCCATGAGTCTTTAAACACCTGCCATGTGCATATATGTCAGAAATCCTTCGTGCCAAGACATCTTAACACTCCACTCTGCACAAACTGAAATTACCTGGTAGAGTACTAGCAGGTGGCAACTAGAGAGGGACAGGATTGAGAAGGGAGACCTGGATGGTCTTAGCCCAGGCTGGGTTGACTGAACAGACAGAACCTGGAATCCTTAACAAGGGAAGAATGGGGGTTAGCATAGAGAGAGTAGGACTTGGGCCAGGAAAAGGTGGAGCCACAAAGTCCTGTGAAGGGTGTTAAGGTTGGATGGCGCTGCCTTTACACTGAGAAGCACATCAGAGAAATTGCCAAAGAAATTCCTCAGTTCTGAGTTAGGGAGCCCAATCAGTCTACTTACCTGGGAGATTTCTAGTTAAACATGCCAAGTTCTCCAAATTTAAGCAAATCATAAAGCCAAGCTCTGTTCCCCATTTAAGCGTATTTCTTATCTGTTGTTATAGGCACATGTCTAAACGCAAAAGTATTTTTAATGCAAAAAATAAATGTGGACTCAAATAATGAAAATCTTAACTATAGAAAAGAAGAAAACAGGAAACTCAGGTCAAACCTAAATGAACAACAAATTTCACTTGACAAGAGTACTCAGAAAGGGCAACAAAACTAAATTATAAGAGAGAGCTAAATCCCCCAAAATTCTATTATGACTGAGGATTTTTCTCAATTTTAAGTTTTAATAATTTTGAAAACTTCTGAGTTTCCTTATTGGGTAGTGCTGTATCTAGAGCATACAGTGTTACTACTGACATTTCCCTGGGAATTTATTATCCCTTCCTAACTAGAAACCAGAATTTTGGAAGTCTTTCTTTCCTTTTAATGTAAATCTGTCATCACACTGAAAAATTTAATTATTCTCTTTTAAAAGGTAATTTTGCACTTAATGCATTATATTGGCTTTATTTACTGAAGGATGTTATTCTAAATGTATAGAAATTTTCTTAAGAAAAAAAAGATTCATTTA